TTCCCTTTCATGGGAACTTCGAACTGCGTCCTCAGGCGTTCCCCATAGCGACCCCTAGAGGACGCAGTGTCTCGTTCCCTACTCAGGGAACCATGGTTACATAAGTAACCTGAGACGTTTTAATCAACTCTTTAAAAAAAAAAAACTTTTATAGGACGAAGAAACGGAGTGGCAAAACAGCTGACAGACATTTGGCCATGGCTGCTTTGTGCACACTGTGCTGCCCATAGGCTTTCACTGGCCTGTAAAGATGCAGCAGACAATGTGCCGTACATGAGGACCTTCAAGGAGCACCTCCAGCAACTGCACTTGTACTTCAGAAACAGTGCAAACCGTTTGGATGACCCAGCCAGCTTGGGTCCTTTCGCCATTTCCACTGAGCAGGAGAAGGACAGAAGGAACCAGCCAAAAGGTGGAGACAGGCAGCAATTCTGGAGGAGGTTTCGTTTGGAGGTAAGAATGAGAATGTAATCATTTCAAAAAGGTCTTTTATCACTTTTCCTTTTCATTCATTCATTTAATACATTCATTCATGTTTTTATCAGGTAATGGACCCCTACTTAGATGGCCTGATAAGTCAGCTTGAGGTGAAGTTCCCTGACCTGGAGGTCTTTGCTGCTTTCAGTGTCTTGGGGCCACAGGCAGCAAGATCAACTGACCACGAAGCAGCTCACGCTCACCTGAAGACCCTGGCAGGGAAATTCCTTTCTGTGGATGCCAGCACTGTTGTGGAGGAGTGGATGTCATTCAGACAACATGTCATCTCTGGTGCACTCCAGGTGAGACATTGAGATCTAGGCTGTCAGCAGTGGGTACACAATTATAAAAACTGCTACCACATCTGCTTACCTTGTAACCCTATGATTGCCATATGATTTCAGGACAAGACACAGCTACAGATCATGATGGAGCTGACCTCTAAATATGAGGAGTTTGGGGTCTTGTACCCAACCCTCTGCCAGCTGGCTGCAATTGCACTGACTGTGCCTATCAGCACTGTAAACTGTGAGAGGGACTTCTCTGCCATGAATAGGGTAAGAATGCTTAAAACCTGCATGCATTAAAAAAAAAACATGCTCATTTATGTTTAAATGAATTGTGTGTTATGTGTCTTGTCTTCATCTGCTACTTGCAGGTGAAAACAGACCTTCGCAACAGGTTGCAGGGGGAGCATCTTGAGGCCTGCATGAGGGTGTCCATCAGTGGTCCCCCAGTTGGGGACTTCCCATATCAGGAGGCCCTTGAAATGTTTTTCAAAAGTCCTAGGAAAATTAAGTGCAAAAACCACAATTGTACACTGTGCCAGTGATCACATAATGAAGTGTGTTGTAAATAGTTGTGTGATGTGTAAATAAATGTTGTTTATATTTATTTACCAAATTTATGTGCACTCTTTGTCAGTTTAGCTCACTCTAGAAATGCACCGATACAAACAACCACCTACTGCGCGGCACATCTATGACAACACCACGTATCCGTAACACACCCGCTCCGCAACACTAGTAGTTTTGGGGGGTCTACCACCCCCCCTGAAAAAAATCCTAGGGGAAACACTGCATCTGAGATGCATGTCAATGCCAAGTGTAAACAGTAATGTGTCTCAGCCAACTACCTGTGATCAGATCAACCATGACAGATGTCAGTGGCCCAGGTTTATCTGGTATTCTGTTGCTAGGACACTGAAAACATAGTGTTTTTTTTCCCCAAGAGTATTTTAGGTTAAAATGTATTTCTGTCATGACAACTCTCTGAGGGACTGGCATGGTAATGTACATGACAATGTTAATGTATTTGGTCTTGGCGGAATAGATCTGCTATGCTGCTGCTGCGGCAGAGCAAGTACCGAGACTTGCTACAGCCAATACATCCACAACATCCTGCTGTGAGTATGTAAGATATATTGCTGCTGCAAATATAACATATGAAATAACCCCCATATAGCATACATGAATCACCTCGTAGCAGATCTTATCAGTGAACTCTCCTCTTGTCCGTATTCAATTCGCACGGACCGACCGTCACGCAGAGAACACGCGATCATGCAGGTCACATGCACACTTCACAAGATCTCAACTAGATTCGACTAAGTTTGCAAGGTTTGTGAAATTAAATTTTCATTAGTCATTCAAAGATTTGTTCAAATTATGTAAATGCGTATTTGCTGAATGCTGACAGCAAAGGAGAAAGTATTATAATGTTTGCCTTTCTATTACTAATAATATAAAAGCAATCGTTATAATACTTTTTGTATACATTTGAATTCCTTTGTTTAACAGTTCTATCGGATTATTAGACAGACTTCTATCCGTATTAGACAGAACTGTTAAGGACGACGGCGAACAAGAGGGAGAATGTGAGCACTGTGTGCTCAGGCGCTGCCGCTCTCAGCGGCATCAAAATAAAAGTCCAGACTCAAACACATCAGCCAAACAAAAAAAACTTATCGGCCGATGCCGATATTTGAAAAATGCCAAATATCGGCCGATATATGGGCGTTGGCGATATATCGGTCGACTACTAGTCATATATTTGAATGTTGAGCAGCAAGCTCATTGGCTACCGATGCCAAATATCGGCCGATATATGGGCGTTGGCGATATATCGGTCGACTACTAGTCATATATTTGTTGGTTGAGCAGCAAGCTCATTGGCTACCGATTCAGGAGAGAACCAATCAGCTGTGCCATGCGATAATGATGTCATTAGGTCAGATTGAGTTAGACCTATCGGACTGCGCCATCTAGAGTTTCATGCCAGAACTCTGTATATATAAAAGGGAAGAGAGTATTATTGTAGATGCTGAAATTTTAGCACTTCAATAATCTTAAAGTCTTCGGTGTAGCTTTTTTTAAAACTACAAATATTGCAACAATATGTGGTCATGAAAATAAGAAAAAATATTGCAAAAAGTTTTTAATAGTTTTGAAATACAGTATGTCAAGCCACAGAACAGGGCCTAAACACAAGGCATTGCTACAACATGGATGACGAAAATAAGACGAGGCTTATTGCCAGAATTAGTTCTTGAGGTCAAGTGCCAAATGGCAGAAAACCTCTAATAAATTAGCACAAAATATACTCACTTTACACAATCAGCCGTTTTCTGCAAAATCCACACAACAACATCCAAAGAGGGACTTTACGGTTCACTACCTTCATAATCTATTGTAAACAAAGAGCGTAATTCCTGCAGTACACACAACAAACACTATGAGGTCTGCACAACATACACAAATCAAAACTATTTGAAAACAACATTCATCTCACAGTATCTCTTTGCACTTTAGTGCTCTGTGGTTTTATAAGTTGCTGCACACTCCAAGCAATATTGGACCCCTAACCCCAAGTCCTTCACCAGTCACCACAGACCAAGCAGCAGGACAGGACAGATTCTATCATTAGATAATGCTTTTTTAATTTCCACCTGTTGCCAAAAACTCCATCCCCTACTGTACAACTGCAACTCACAGACATGAGTAAAAGTGGCCCGAACAAGGATTTTATCAAGGCACTTAACAAGGGCTTCAGTCTATCCTTACTCTTGCATTAATCACCTACAGGCAGTTTGTCCCTCAACTCTACATAAACAGATAAAGCAGCATTACGAAAATCAGTTGCCTTGTCATTTAAAATGTATATGTTTATAAACTACCATTACCCGATATCTAAATGTTCCTTCAAAGTCTCTTATGCTCACCAAGGCTGCATTTATTTGCTCAATTATACAATAAAAACAGTAATATTGTGAAATATTACTACAATTTTAAAAGAAACTTTCTATTTTAAAATGTGATTTATTCCTGTGATGGCAAAGTAAAAAAATTTAGCAGCCTAATGTGCATATTTGGTGCTAATTTTTAATTATTATCAATGTAAAAAATAAAATGTTTTACTTGAAATAGAAATCTTTTGTAACATTACAAATGTCTTTACTGTCCCTTTGAACAGATAATGCATCTTTGCCGAATAAAAGTTTTCATTTGCGGTATATTTGCTGTGTATATTAATAGCAATACTAGAGTTACATATTGACACTGGAATGGTTTTAGCATGTTGCTATATTGTTTTGGGCAGTTGCTAAGGTACTGGCACAAGTCAAAAGAGCCCACCTCTATGCATTTATTTTGGTCACTAGAGCCCTTCTCCAACTTAAAACAAAGAGATTTTTGCCTGAAAACTAATTGCACACATCTGCCTTAGCAAACACAGCTACAGAGAGTCTTTTCTTTTTAAAATGGGGCCGCAAAAAGACCATTACCAAACAGAACATGATCATGCCTCCAAGACACACATGACACCATACAGCTGGTTCAAAGAACAGTTACATGATGTGTCCCATGTGTTGCGTAATTGTGCGAGCTCAAGGGCTTTGCACCAATATGTAAAGTTCTTCCCTATGTTCAAAACACAAGTTCTTCAGCACTTCAAATTGAATAGATGGAACAAATGGTTGCAGACAGCTTCATCCGTTGCAGACCAGCTCATAATGTGCGACTGGCCACTCCAACGGATCCTGTCAGGTAAAAAACAAAACAAAAAAAAACACATACACCAACACAAAGCACCACCCACACCCCGAACTACTGCACAAACAGGGCTGTTACGTCATAATCTGGAACATGGTTCATGCTTTGACACAGAAACTAGGCTTACTTAACTGCAGCTGATCACCTGACTTGTTGCTTCCAGCATGGTTCCAGCGTCTCTACTGCTGAAAAAGCCAGTGAATGTACTGCCAACACAGTCTGACACACACACACACACACACACAGAGAGAGCCCTGACAACTTTCCACTCACTTCTCAAAACATCTCAAGACTCTATGGTAATATAAATATTATTACCCTAATATGCTAGTGAAAACTGAGATTTGAAACGATTATCTGACGATGAGGGGGAGGCGAAAATGAGTGGAATTCCTTTTGAGGGTGTAAATACATTCTGTGTGATGTTTTAACAGTGCAAAACTAAAATAAAAAGAAGTGCTTTAGGTTACGTACTTCTCTGGCAATGCTTCTGGTTCCAGCAGCGCTCGCTAAAGTCTCCGTTGATGGTGGTGAGGGGGCAGGTGGTTTTGCCCTGAATCGTGCCGGGGCAGACGTCTCCGCACTCTCGATCATTCTTATTGGCCACGATGTAGTTGTCCTCCACCGAGTCAAGGATCATGGACCAGTCAAGGGTGGAGAGGTAGCAGAGGTCGGGGTTCTTCTCTACGCGCACGGCTCCACGGGTGATGTTCATCAGACTGTGAAGGCCAATCTCTTTCAGCTGCAGCATCTCGAACAACACGAGCGCGTAGTTGAAGAAGAGATTATTACCACGCACCACTGTGAGGTTGGGAAACAGGTCACTGAGGCTCTCCAGGCCGTAAACGCGGAACAGGAGCAGGTAGTCCGTCACTACCATCAGCTTGGGGTAACTCAGACCACGGAAATCCTCCGGTTTGGTCGTGAACATGAGCAGAATCTTTAAGTGGCCTTCGATCACGGTGCAGTTCTCCAGCACCCGCAGGTTGGTCACATTATTTCTGATGTCTTTACTTGAGCAAACTGCGACAACAAAAAGACAGCAAAATGTTAATTGGTTTAGTGAAAATCTACAGCAAAAATTTTGAATAAATTGCTTACAGATGATGACCTTCAATTTAACAGGATTTTATTCTGTAACAAGCATAAACAAACAAAATGCAAAAATTTATTCCATAGAAACCTATAAAGAAGATAATTTACAGAGCCATAAAAAATTTCATTAGAAATTTTTCTGATAGTTTTCTGTCGCACTGTTCAATTTTCTTCCTTTGAGGTGATGCCTTCCATATGACATAACATGTTTAATGAAGATAATAAAACCTCTTCCTGCAGCTTTTCACATTCCAGTGCTGCTTTACTAGTGTATGAGATGGAGAGATGCTTCTCAAGTGAACTTCAGTCCGGAAGTTTTGGAGCATGAGGAAGCTGAAACACACAGTATAACCCTACTGACATGCGTGTCCTCTCAGACACACACACTCACACACAATGTGCAATACGTCTACACTTACACTTATTTTTAGCACCACACTCCTAATACACTATGTACAAATGGGGAGCCAGGCACTTGAAAAGAGTATTGTTGAAGCACATGAAAGAAACGGTGGTACAGTGAGATGAGATGTGTCCTGGCTGACTGTATGTAGTCATTCACTCTCTGAATAACGCTCTAGCCCAAATTAAACCCTGAACATCGAACAATGAGTAATGTAAGTTACAATCATGAGATGAAAAAGATTTAATTTAATTTGTTTTAAAGACAAAAACAAAATTATTTAAAGGGATAGTTCACCCAAAAATGAAAATTCTGAAATATCAGAAATATCTTAATTTGTGTTCCGAAGATGAACAAAGGTCTTACGGGATTGGAACGAAATGAGGGTGAGCAATTAATGACAGAACTTTCATTTTTGGGTGAAATATCCCTTTAATGCATTTACATTTAAATTCAATTATTTAATACTTTAATATTCTCAAAGCAAGTTTTAGGAAGGTGTTATTTTATACAGGTTACATGTTATTTGTTTTATTTAAGTTAAAATAGGTAAACAATCTTTTTTCATTTGTAAAAGATCAAAACATAAATCATAACTTTAACAAGTTAACCTTAAAGTAAACTACAGGTTTAAAATATGCTTTAAGAAGAAGAAAAGAAAATGTCTAAAGAAGAAAAGGCATGTAATTGAGGTAGTGATTTATGGCAACGCTGATTTCTCTGACTTTCTCTGCAGCTAGTCCTGCTTTGTTACAGACCTGAAAAGTATATTTCAACCTGACATATTGATTGAAACCTGCATTCAATCTGCATAAGTGTGTTTGCCTTTGCAGTCAATCATTAAGAGATCAAAATAAATCTTGCGTCAGAAGATATATAAAGCAAATGTTATATATTTTTTTTAATTAATAAATAAATGCGACAAACGGCCAAACCACACAAAGTACTCACTTTCCTCTGAAACAAGACAAACAATAGCAAACATTTCAACCAGGACACAGGAATAGGCCTGTCGCAATAATCAATATATCGACTTATCGCGCAATATATGTAAATGACCTCAATAATTTTTGGTGACGCAATATATCGCCCATTATATTTACTTAATAATTAATGTCACCATGTTTTGTACATTCCACTTGCGCCTGTGTCTTTTGCAGCTTCTCGTACATAACGTGGTGTAGTCATGAGGTGCTAGTTCAAATTTAAAAAATGCTTCTACAAAAAAAAGTTTCATCTGCAGATATGACCTTGTTTAGGGATCTGTGCCTTTGTGCATACGGACATCTGACTGCTAAGTAGTGATTGTGTTTTTCAGCAATAGTGTGCACCATTACTTTACCGATAAAAGAAGGTCAGGGAAAAAT